TAAAATTGTCTTCTCTGCTTCAGCTAAGCACTCCTGGTCCCGTTAATCTCTCTCTATGGGTGCCCGACTAAGTCTAGGAGTTGAAGAAGGCTATGGTGGCCCAGTTGGGTCAAACCTCAGTGTAGATGTTGCAGTGAAGGTATTTTAGCGATGTGATTAATGGTTAAATCAGTAGACTGGGTAAAACTGATGATTCTGGGTGAACCTCCTCCAATCAGTTGAAAGCCTGAAGAGTAAACACTGGGGTTTCTCAGAGAAGAAGGAATTTCCCTCGGATGCAACACAGGAACTTGCCTGTGATTTCAGCCTACTGCCTTCCACATTTGGACTCCAAGACTCTCAACCACTCTTCTGAAATTTCCAGGCTGCTGACCTGCCCTACAGATCTGTGACTTCCAACCCTAACAGTTGTAGGAGTCAGTTCCTCTAAATAAATGTCTCCCTGTCTCCCTCTCTGTATCTACATATTGTCCAGACATTTCTTATTGGACATACATTTCTTCTCTGGACAACTCTGATTAATATGCCAGGCAATTAAGTCTTTTTTCTTTTTTTTAATTTTCTCATCCTGCTTAACTTTTTTTCCGAGCATGTTCCAGGTTACTAATAACCCATCTAATATATTCAAGGTATGATGCAGGGAAGAATAAAATTATTGTAATTTTTTTCAGTGCGAGGGATGGAACTTGGGTCCCATTAGTGTTAGGCAAGTGCTCTACCACTGAGCTGCACCCCAGCTCCTTATTACTGCCCTATCCCAGCCTCAGTATAACTTAGTCCTTAAGGAAAAGGTCTTGGATACAGAGAGAGCAGAATTGAAGCCCTGACCCACAATGTTGTGACTTAAGTTTTATGCTTCTCTATTAATTCATACATGAGCCCTTAGCAGCTAACTAATGAATGAATATATTCTGTTGAATATGTCATGTGTTTTTTTTTTTTCAAATCAAATCTTGGATTTGTTTTTTTAAACACAAAACCATAGAACACAAAATTGTACCTTTATTTTATTCTAAAATCTCCCTTTACGCTTCTATGAAGACAGTTGTATTCTTGCAATGAAAACCTAACACTCAAATTGAAAATGCATGGGCTTCTCTTTTGGAAATCCTTGGCACACTCAGGCCTGAAGACAGAAACCTGGAGTTGATGACTTAGGCACATCTGCTCAGGTGTCTCAATTCTGGGTGCATTTGCATTTAAAGGGTTTTAATTGCTGCATCTTGACAACAGTCAGAAAGAACATTTAAAAGCATAGTGCTCAGGGTGGTAAAGAAAATGAATACAGGTGGTCTATGAAAACCTGGATCAGTAGGCAGCCTAATAAATAGACCCTCTCCAGGCAGAGGCCTGAAAAAGTAGGGGTTTTGAAACCCACACCCTGAAGAAGCATTCGAAAGGACAATGTTTGTTTTTCATAGGCGGAGCCTCTGTAAGTGGGTGGGTGGCATTTTTACTCAGGAATGCCTTTCTGGACCATCTGTCCCAGGGAGCCACAGGTGGTTGAGGATGGAAGGTGCTGTTTCTTCTCCCTGTTTCTCTCTCATGTCATGGCCCTGGAATGACTCCTATGTGAAAAGATCTATCAGACAAACCATAAAACACAATGCTCTGTGGGTAGCTCAGCTGTCTGAGGGAGGATCAGAAGACTCAAGTCTAATGGGTTGATTAATGGAAAGCACATTACTGTCTGCCAGAGCAGCCAAAGAGCACTTGTTTGCTTTAAACCAAGAGAGATGGAGTAAACAGGGCGAAGAGCTGGTTCATTCCACGGGTTCATAAACAGACATGGCAAAGGCTGATTTGGGGCTTTTTAAAATTTAAAAGATGATAAAAATTTTTTTCCTACTAAGTAGAGTGCTCAGTTAACAAATATCATTTTCTTTTCTTCACTTGTATTTTTGTTATTGAGCAAGTTTGTCAAAATAAATTGTCTACTGAAGAAAAAAATATTATTTTCTTCGAAAAGTGAAGCAACCAGCCTATTCTATATAGACATATCTTTAGCTTCTAAATTTACCAAATGTCACTTACAAAATGAACAAGGATGGAATTAAATTACAATATTCCCCTAAGTAGATAAAATATAGGATACACAATTTAATTTTCAGTTGAATGATGAATAATTTTTTGTTATGTTCATGCAATATTTGGGATATACCTATACTCAAAAGCTATTCACTCTTTATCCAAAATTCAAAAAATACATTTTTCTTCGTTAACTCTGGCAACCCTATCACCAAGGCAAATTTCACTGGAAAGAAATGTGAAACTCTCAATTCAGTTTTTAATCCGCACATAGACATTTATTCACACTCAGAAATCAACTTGAAGTCATCCAAGAGCACACATGTTATCTTCGATCCCTGGCTTCCCCTTGGCTCCCAGCCCATTCCAATCTACCTCACAGAGGAAGTCTTTTGTCCTGGTTACCAGTGGGTTCCATGTCGCCAGATCCAATGGACATGTTTCTGCCCTCAACTTTTTCAGCAGCATTCAGTAATGTTGACCTCCTTCCTTCTTTAAAAAGTTTGACTCTGGCTTCAGGGACCTCCTTCTCTATCCTGACTTTCTACATATCCTGCCACTAGTTTCCATCTTCTTGATCCTGTTCCTCTACCTCCAAATTGGGAATTCTTCATGGCTTCCTCCCCTTTTTCCTTCTATACTAATACTGTCCAGTAGAAACTTCTGATGTATGCGTGCACTACCCAATGTAGTAGCCACTAGCTATAGATCACTACTGAGTTCTTGCAATGGGGCTAGCATGACCGAGGAAAAGCATTTTACATTAACATTTTAATTACTTTCTATTGCCACATATGGCCAGAGACTGCCACATTAAATAGTGCAACTCTTGACTTTCTTATTGGGTGAGCTACTCTTGGCTTCAAAAACCAGGGTTATGCTTATGATTTCTTGATTGTTAGCTACAGCTCAGACCTCTCCAGGGTTGTATCCATATTATAACTTGGACAACTTACAAGCACCAAGTGGTCTTAACTTAATGGTTCTTTATTCAGCTGCCACTACTTCACAGAACAGTACCACCAGCCACTGAGTTTGTTGAAGCCAGAAACTGAGTCTTTCTTGATTTTCCACAGCTAAATCATAAATAAATTCCACTGACTCTATTTCCAAGTTCCATTTGGAATCTGTCCATTCCATCCATCTCCCTTTCTTGCCTGGATTACTTGCAGTAGTCTACCTGCTTCCTGACCCGGCCTTAATCTATGATCTACACACAGCATTGGAGTGACTCCTCTCAAAATTGAAGTTGGATCATGTCCATTTTCTGCTTAAAATTCTTCAGTCGTTTGCCATTGCTTTTGAAATAAATCTGAATGCCTTGTTTTGGACTTTTAGGTTCTGGGACCTGCTATCCACTCCAACCCATTTCTACTGTGTTCCCCTTGTACCTGGCTTCCGGGGCCACAGGTGCTCTGCTATATCAGAGCCTGTGCACTTACGGTTTCCCCTGTTTGCGATCTCTCTTACCAGCTCTTCACATGGATGGCCTTTTCTCATCCTTAGGTTTGTTGCTGGGGATTGAATCCAGGACCTTGCATATGCTAGGCCAATGCTCTACCACTGAGCAGCCCCATCCTTTAGTTCTTAAGTCTCAATTTGGAAAGTAGCTCTTTCCTAGCCACTTGATGAACAGAGTCACTTCTCTTCACTTATTGTCTATCTTAGCATGTCTTCTCCTTTGTGCATTTTGAACTGTGATTATAGAGTTTGTAATCACAGACCATACAAGCTCATTGTCTATAGCCTGCCAGTCTGTAAGCTCCAAGAGCAGAGACTTCAACTTGTCTTGTCTCTGTGTCTAATACTAACACATCATTGATTCATGTAAATATTCAATAAATATTTGTTGGATGAATGACCGAATGAAGTAGCTGATGACTAGATTCACAGGCAGGGTAATAGCATCATCCCTTGGTATCTACAGGGGATTGGTTCAACGACCCCCCGATGGATAACAAAATGCATGGATGCTCAAGTCCTCCAAATAAAATAGTACAGTGTTTGCATATCCTCCTGTATACATTAAATTATATCTAGATTTTATAATATCTGATACAATGTAAATGCTATGCAAACACTTGCTATACTGTATGGTTTAGGTAATGATTAAAAAAAAGTTTGTGTAACTTCAGTACAAGCATATTTTTTTTCCTGACTATTTTTGATGAAGTTGGTTGAATCCATGCATGGAGAACTCATAAATATGGAGGGCCAACTGTATGCCCTAATTTTATTGATTTAAAGCTTGATTTTAAATTTGTACTTTAAATAATAACAAATAGAGGACCTGGCTTTGCCAGCTTCTTCCCTTTAAGTGAAGAGCACGGTGGCATCCAGGAGGAAAGCAAGCATCCTAGAGATGAGTCACACAGAGAACACTGTTTTTCTTCCAAAGACCATCTTGCTTTAAGCTTCCAGCAATGACTTACTCTAAAGAGGTTCCCAGTCCTGTTCTGGCAAACTGGAGCCAGAGCCTGGGTTGTACTCTAGAATGATCTGGGGGTTTTAAGCCATGCTGATGGCCGAGTTTCACTCCAAGAGACTGACTTTCCTGGCCTCAGGTGCATTCTGGATGGTGGGATTTTTAAAATTCCCGTGTGATTCTAATGTGTAGCCAGGGCTCAACTTTCCAGTTCCTTCCTTGGTTGGCCACTTTGTAAGACCTTCACTGTGCTATAGAGTCGTCTTTTTAGGGAGGAAGGGAGACCATGGAGGAAGGTTATAAACACATCAATAATTGGAAAATAATTTTTCCGATTATTTTGTCAGTCATGAACTCTATTTGCAGTGGTTTTCTTAGTGCATTGTCTCACTGATCATTAGTCAATATTAGTCAATCCTTTAATTATGAGATAAGTAATTAGTATTTTTCTTTCTTGTATTTGGTACTGGGGATTGATCCCAGGTGCACTTTACCACTGAGCTACATCCCCAGTTCCTTTTATTTTTTATTTTGAGGCAGGATAAGTTGCTAATTCTGTCCCTGAACTTGTGATCCTCCTGCCTGAGCCTCCTGAGTTCCCAGGATTTATCAGGCATGTGCTACCGAGCCTGGCTAAGTCATTAGTGTCTCTCTCAAATGATTCATGGAAACTCATCAGAAGTTAATTCCATTGATTTTGAGTTTTTTTCTGAGAAGCATATCAAGTCTTCTGCAAAATATATCAAGACTGCACACTATTCCATGAGGAGGGAAGAAAGGCTGGTAAGTGATGGACTTGTGTTTCTCGTCGGAGTCCCTCTGCACCAGGGAAGCCTAACTGGGGAGTCTGCCTTGATCAGAGGCATCAGCCCTCAGCCCAGCCCCACCTCCCTTGGCCCTGACCCCTCTGCTCTCAGCAGCTGATGTACTCACAGGTCTAACTGCAGGCTTGGTGCATCCCAGCTCTGGAGCTGATCAGAACAATGAACATCAGCCGCCTGGTGCCCTTCCCTTATGCTCCCCATATTTGAAAGCTAATTAGTAAATCAACAAATAGCTATGGTTAATAATCAGTATTCCAAGTTAATATTTAGTATCATTAATAATATTATGTGCCTTTGTATGTTTCCTACTTCCACTCATTTTCTACAGAACTCCTTTACTCCCCCATAGATGAGTGTTTTGGAGCTAAAAATGTGTTCCAGAGGCTCAACTTTCCTCAGTTGGCCCACTTTGCAGACACTGTTCTGTGTTACATAGCTACCTTGCCCTGCATCCTGCTTCTTTGAGGATGGTGGAACTGGGGTGGGGGGCCAACACCGGGAAGATGCTCTCTCTCTGCCCACCTCTCCTGGCATCCACCCCCATAGCCAGGCTGATGCATATTGCGCAGTGGAACACTCGATTCTGTGGCTAAGGTTCCAGATGCCTCGTCTCATCCAACCTTGTTCTCTCTTAGGCTCTTGCTTTATACAATCTCATTGTCATTGCCATTGACCCTTTCCAGCTGAACAGCTTCCCTCCAGCCCCTGATCCCTTGCTGTAGGACAGGGTGTCTCATTCATCATTAGTTCTCTAACCATTTTCACGACTGTGGTCGTCTCCTGGCAATACCTGTACTATTGTCTAATATAATATATATATCAATCATCCTCTGGACCTGTAACCTGAAATAAACTCTCCTTCCTCTAAGTTGTTCTTGTCAGGTAATTTGGTCACAGCAATAAAGAGGTGTGATTAGTGTGAGCTATTCAGGTAGTGATAGCCATGAGATTAAATGAACTAACATATGTTTAGGGCTTAGGAAAGTGTTTACACATAGTAAGTGCTGTCTGAAGTTAAATATTAGTACAAGCTGTGAGTTTGGGCAATGGAAGTTTCAGGAAAAAAGTATTCTATGGGTTCACAAGGCACCCTTTCTTTTGAGAAAAGTTTGGCTAAGGAATCATAGGCGTGAACTCATATGTGTTCAATTTCATGGTAACTGCTGCAGGTATTTATTGGTTCAAGATATTAGAGTTCTATAAGTCAGGTGGCCTATATAGAACCCAAAATGATTTAAAATGGCACCTGACTGCAATTGGTTATTCCAAATGGGTATTCTATGCAAATCTGAGAATGATACCTTCACCCAGACCCCATTCTCAATTTTTTTTTCTTATGAAGTTTGTTAACTTTGCTTGAAAGAGTGTTTTCACTAAGTATTGGGAACAGTATAAAATTGTGGTTGTGTACAATCCAAATGTTCTTTTTTTCAGTGCTGGGGGTTGAACCCAGGGTCTTGAACATGCTAAGCATGAGGGCTACCACAAAGCTGCACCCCAGCTCCCATTCCAAATGTCTTTAAGAGGCTTTATATTATGACGATAGTAAATAGTTCTAAAATAAACTACAAAACTTTCAAATTATTTAATAAGTTTTAATATTTCATAGTAAGCTCTCCAGGTCATAATATAAACACTGTTTCTTCCTATTTCCATTCTGAAGTGATTAAAGCATCAGTTACATTATCTTAAATGTCCTAATTACATTTACTTGAGCACAATTGATTACATTTATGAAGGATAACAAAGGAATTATAAAGCTATATTTGAATGAAACTCTTCATTCTGATTTTGAAATCTAATCAGAGAAACATATTTAGTATAATAATAATCCTCTACATACACGTCATCCTCGTTAGGCTCCCTGTGTTACAAAAACCATCACATTAAGCAAAAGTATTCATCTAATTTATAAAAACCAAAATTATTTTTAAAACATTTGTACTTTACCACTACCAGAGATTTTTTTTAAGTTGTAATTATATACTTTGGAGATAAAATGATCAAATTACTTCCTGAGGCTATTCTAACAAGTTCTGAATTCTAAGCAAAAATCTTATGAAATGTCTCAGGGGATAAAATTGTAAAGCTTTTTATCTGAAGCTGTTTAGATGCCTCTAAGAGCCAAATGTGAAATTCTCTAATAGGGAAAAGGCTAATGGAAAAGCTTCAGGGAGGGAAACACAAGCTTGACCTTCTACTGTAGCTTGTAACTTAAGGCCAATATTGTTAATCTTCCTGTTCTCCAGTTTGCTTATTTGTTCATTTGGGAGAATCGTATTTTCTCAACCTAATTGTATGTACCATAGCCAGTCTCAAAATGCTGCACAAAATTTCCCAATACTGTCAAATATTTCCAATAGATAACTTCCTCAGCTAATCAGCATTTTTACTACTATCTATATTTCTTGGAACACAAGACCCATCTCCCAGCTCAACAAAAGATAGTTGCCATTTTGCATTTTCCTCCTGCACGTACACCAACATCATGCACAGGGCAACTTGGAATGTCTTTCAAAAGTCCTCACTGTTATAGCTAAAGAGTGGACCTGCTCTGTCCACATGATTGACGGCAGAGCCCAGCCCGTACAGACACACATCCCAGGCATCTGCTCCCTGTGGCCTAGCGGGAGCTGCGTCTTGAGGGAAAGCCAATGTGGATCTGATGGCCCGGCCATCTCCTGGAACTTTCAAAGGAATTTTCCCTGCTGGGGAGGGTGCCCTGGGGACCGCAGCTGGGGGGTCCAGGGCTTCTGTGCAGACAGACATCAGGACATTGTCAGCAGCATAGCTACAGGTTGAAAGGCTGTTAGCCTCCTGTCCACCGTCACCGTGTTTCAGAGCAGGGCACGGGTAGGCCTGGTAGGACACTTTGGTGGTAGTGGTGATCACTGTCTGCAGGGCTGGGCCACTGGCCAAAGGAGTCTCGAGGTACCTACACGGAAACTCTGGATTTTGACATGGGGGCGTGGCCATGGCCTGTAACTGTCCATGGTCAGTTCTCTCCCCAAGGCTGGGTTTTCCAAGTGCTGATTTCCAGCTGCATTGTTTACTGGTGAAATCAAAATTCCTCTCATAGCTGCTGTATGAATTGCCATTATATTGGAGTGCGTTCAGATGAACCCAGTCTGGGTCTTTAGGAACGCTGGTAGAATCTTTACAAAGGGTGGGATAGGGGCTTGCATTTGTGTATCCAGGGCCTGGCAATTCATAGCTGCAGGGTGGTCGAGGCCAATACATTCTTGGGTTTGGATATTTCTGAAAGGGAGGCACCATGTCCCCTTGAAAGACTGCTAGGTCACAGGTGGCTTTGTAAGCATCAGAGTTTGGGAAGGAAGTACAAGGCTGCCCTGGAATAAGGCAGCTTGTGTCAGTAATTACATCAAACAGTTCTGGATTTTCCAGGAAAGATGTGCTGTTGAAATATTCACTGCTGTCTTGATTTGCTCCTGCCTAACAACAACAAAAAAAAGATACAAATGCAGAAATGTGATTTGTAAATGGCGTAGACATCTTCACCCATAACAATAGTCGACCATGCAAATAAAAACAAGTTTCCAGTTGGTGGGCTCTGTATTGTGACAATACACTGCTAAGTGACATGATTTGGGCTTGTGGTCCAGAGTTTGCTAAGCTTGAGATTGCTGAGGAATGAACACAACATACGGAATGAGGAAGGTCTGTAGAAACCAGGCAGGATGAGTGGGAGCGGCAGCTGGTCCTATTCTCACCCATGCAGTGTCCGTAACAGTGGACGCTCAGGAGTACACAGAACTGGCTTCAGGTTCTGACTCTGCCCCTCACTAACTGAACAAGTAACTCAACCTCTCTGAGTTTTAGATTCCTTATTAGAAATATGATGAGTTTCTGCAACCATTAAATGTATGCCACTCCTGGATCAGTGCCTGGCAAGTGACAGTGCTCAAATGGTGTCAGTTTCTGATATCCTCCCATGGACACTCTGTCTGCTTGAAATCCTTCTGGAAAAGCCATGCTGTATCAAGTTGCCTAAAGAAACATTGTCTGTTCCTTTACAAATGTTTCTTCAGTTTGGATCTTAAGTGTCTGCCAGAGACCCACATATTATAGGCTTGGTCCTCAGGGTGGCGCTAACCAGGAGGTGCGGGGGCCTTTAGGAGGTGGATTCTTGTTGAAGGTTATAGGTCCGTGGGGACCTGCTCTCAGAGGGGATATTGGGACCCTGGCCCCTTCTCTCTGCTGTTTCTCTTTTACTTCTGGCCATAAGGTAAGGGCTTTCTCTACCATGCACTCACCACAGGCCCAAAAGAAACAGTCTAATCAACCATGGATTGAAATCACCAAAACTATAAGCCAAAATAAAACTTTTCTTTTTAAAAATTTGATTGACTCAGGCATTTCGTGACAGTACCGGAAAGCTGGCTAACACAAATATAAAGGGCCCTTTCAAGGATGCCCTGTTAACTCACTGTTAGTATGCACATTCAGTAGTCCCCACTTATCCATAGTTTTGCTTTTTGAGGTTTCAATTACCCATGGTCAACCAAGGTCCAAAATTATTAAGAGGAAAATACTAGAAATAAATAATTCACAAATGTTAAATAACTTTAATTATAATCTATTGTTATCATTGTTCTATTTTATGAGTCATTTGGTTAATCTCTTACTATGCCTAATTTGTAAATTGAACTTTTTCATAGGTTTATACATATGTGTGTATAAACACACATATATATAAATATATATAAAACAACCTATATAGGGCTTGGTATTATCTATAGTTTCAGGCATGCACTGGGAGGTCTTGAATTTATTCCCTGAGGATAATAGTTCTGGTGTCTTTCTTTCTCTAAGGCTGTTGGATAATCAGGCACTTGTATCAGGAAGTCAGCAGACATCTTAACTGTACCACTGCCAATAGAGATCATGGGCTACAGGGGATTAGAGATTCCAATCAAGTGTCGATGTAATGACATTTTT